TGAGATAAGAAAGTAAATTGGAGTAAGAATGAAAGAACTGCTACAGAACTTAGGTATTAACTTGAAACCTTATACCTTAAGTTTCATCTCTACACTACCTTTTGTTCATTTAACATCTTTTTCTAAGGCACTTTATTTTTAAACACATTTTTTAAAACGCATTTCACTGTTTTAGGTAGAAAACCAGTGCTACTTCCAATAAATTCAGGGTCATCATTAAAATGTGATAAGGGCCAGGGGCAGTGGCTCATGCCTGTAATCTCAGCTACCAGAAGGCAGAAGTGGGGAAGATCAAGGCTTAAGGCCAGACCAGCCCCCAGCCCCCCAAAACAAGTTAGTGAGACTCCATCTCAACCAATAATCTGGGCGTGGTGGTATGTATGATATGCACCTATAATCTCAGCTACATGGGAAGTATAGGAAGGAGGATCACTATCTGAGGCCAGCTCCCAGCAAAAACATGAGATAATAGCTAAAAAATAACTAGAAAAAAGGGCTGGCGGTGTGGTTCAAGTGGTGGGGTATGTGCACAGCAAGCAGGAGGCTGTGAGTTAAAATCCCAGGACCACCAAAAATAAAAACAAAATGAACATAAAACATCATTGTTAATTATTTGTTTATGAAGGCCTTTGAGCCTGAGGACTGCAGCCTCATTTTCTAAAGGAAGACTGGGTTTGTTTTGTTTTTTGATTTTTTTTCAAGAATGGAGAACAGGAAGGTAAAACAGGTCCTGTCTGGGGGTTGGCACCAGTAGAAGTGGGGAGGATACAAGGAAAGGATGTAAAAGGGTGAATGTGGTGGAAATATTCATGTATGAAATGGAAAAATGAGACCTGTTGGAACTATTCCAGAAATGGGAGGAGGGGATAAAGAAAAGAGGATGGAGGAGATAAATTTAACTATGATATATTGTAAGAAACTTTGGTAAATGTCACAATGTACCCTCAATACCACAACAATAAAAAATTTAAAAACAAATAAATAAAGGGAGACTATAAGTTTTGGGGAGGAATTTTAAGACTCCTTAAAATAATTAGGAGGAAGGAAGAGGATTGCAAGGTAGATAGCACTCTTACTCTATAAGTCAGGGTATCCAGCATGGTTCCTGTGTGCCATCGTTAAACACAGCAGGGACATGCATCCCACATGTGGGAAATACTGTTTAGGAAGTACAGGACCACCTGAGGTTTTCGTACTGGTTTTGAGTGGCAAGATCTCTTAGTTGATGAGGGATAACTCAGGGCTGGAAAGGGAGACCAACGGAAGCAGGGAAACCCTTGCAGAGGTTGTGGGAGAGGGTCCCAGTGTGGTCCCGTAGGGGCATTGATGATGCAGACAAGGGTCTGGCCTTAAGAGAGCTTTAGGATGAAGCCATAAGATGGTGCCTGAGGGGTGTGCAGCAGGGACCAAGGAAACAGAAGATCAGCAATGCCTTGGAGATGAATCACCTGACAGAGGGCATCAGAGGCATCCTGGGGAAAGGGTAGTGTGTGTTGGGTAAGGAAGGGAAGGGAAGGAAGCAGGCAGAGAGGAGGAGAGATAGACCCCTGGTTGGAACACGCTGCCCATCACAAATCCTTGCACATTCTGTGTCTGCATTAATGCTTGCTGGAAGCTTGGCTGGATGTGTATGACTAGCAGGCAACTGAAGACTCCTTGTTGACACTTGGAGGCATTCCATATGAAAGCTAGATTAGAAGACATTGGTGTGTCCTGTAAATCAGTATCAGCTATGTCCATTTATCTAGTGACCATCTTACAAAATTTGTGACACAATCATGCAGATAGGTTTAAGGCATTTTAGTCAAGCTTACTTTCATAAGATGTTAAAAATGAACCCATTTAAAACCAAAAAGTCATTAAGAATCTACTTAGATAAGGCGATTTTCTGGATGCTGTGAGGGACAGAGAGATGAATTAGTCACAGATCCTTTTCTCATGGTGCTTGTGAAGATCTCAGATAGATAAAAATTTTGAGGAATTTAAATTTTGTTGCTATAAAATTTATTCATGATTTCTAGAAAGAAAATCTAGCCTCAAAAACCTACCAAATAGCCATGGTTAGTCTGAACTTTGTTTCCATGGATGCTAAGAAACATCATAGTATGAGAACAGAAGAGCAGTATAAGTAAATTTTTTGGTATATTAAAGAATTGGAAATGAAAATCTTGCCAGTCATTAATAGCCATTTTTTCTTGTGTGTTTGTCTAACTTAGGAGAAATTAATTAATTTTTTTCCTTTGTCTATAGTACAAAACTTCCTCTCATCCAAGTATTTAATGCAATAAATTGCAGCATTCTCACGAAAACCCACTAAATAATTCATGACTGTTTTTTTTTTCTTGGCAGTCAAGACTCAGACTAGAAGGCATGGATCTCACCCTGAGCCTAAAAGAGTTATAGGTTTGAAGTAGGGGAAGGACAACAAGCCTAAATGTTGACACTCCTCCTTCAGTTTCGAGACCCTTCTGTAGAAAGAAGTGTTTTCATAAGACTCAGACAGAATTCATTTCCATAGAGCATTCTTAATGGCTCTTGTCAGAACAAAACAGCTGGGAAACATATGGTATCCATTTCCCTGTATCACTTGGAAAAAATTTCATATGTAAATAAAGCCAACATAAAAGAGTAGCCCTTTTGAACCCATGACTTTCTACAATACATAAATATATCAGTACAATACACTCGTTGTATTGACCCATGTCATGTGGCTTTAGAATTCCTAATACATTCTAAGATGTACATTGTTTAGAATTCCAAATAAATAAAATATTATAACAAGTATGTGTCTCAGAAATGTCTATGAATATGTATTTTCCCACCATATTTAAAGCTTTTTAGAAAGTTGAATAAAATTAAAGGCATGTTTACACCTTATAAATCTATGTCCACTGTGCTGTTTATGTAAGTAAATAACCATGTGTTCTTAAGGAAGAGAAAATGCCTTGGCAGAAACTTCTGACAGACTTTAATTTTTCATAACTTCACATTTTTAGAGAGAAAAGGACATATAAAAGATTTTTTAAAACTTTTAAATTTAGAAGGGACCAACTGGAATTAGTCTTTGCCTTTGCAGATTTACATTTCATAAATAACTTTAGGAAATCTAGTTTTTTTCCTGGTGATTATCACTCCTCTGAGTTTATTAACAGGACTTTTTTCCCCTGTGAAATTAAACTATAAATCCCTCAGAAGGATTCACTTTGTGTGTTTTAAAAGATTTAATGAGTTGTACAAAGTGAGATTCAAATTCACATTCTTGTATTTGTTAATTGTCTGTTCTGAGCCAAGCACTGTGTACAACTAAGAGCTCCAGCCAAGAAAAGGGAAGAGAAGCAGCAGTTTGAAGCCATCTAGATACCTTCCTTCCCTTCTGGATTCTCTGTTACATGTTACATGTTGGAGTGAAACCAGCCCTTTCCCCACAGATCATAGTACTCTCTCCTTAGGTTCTAAGGTGCCAGGGCCAGAAAGGCCTCCAGTGGTCTGCATAGTGCAGACCCTCCTGAAACTGCCAAATTGCTGTCCACTTTGGGGACAGAACTCGCAGTTACATAGCATTCACTCTCATCCCCTTAGCGTGGTTCCAGAACGTCTCTGAATCATTTTAGAACACATTCCAACAGGAAGAAGAATGATTTGTAGCCTAAATTTAGGGAACTTTAATAACAAGCCCTTTCACCCCAGGAATCAGTCCTAGCCAGGGCCCGTTGCAGAAGCTGCAGTCTCAGGTTCTTGCACTCTTCGGCTGTGCCCAGCAGTACAGACCATGTGTGTCACTGCTTCATCCTTCCCACCTGCAGTTTTCCCAAGAAGAGAGGTAGATGGGAGGGCCCTAGTTGCAGGAGATGCCATGAAACCTTGTCTCTTTGGTAAAGGACAGTAGAAGCTAAGGATGAGAAGAGTAGGAGCCTGGATATCAGTGGCTGGGAAGCTTTCAAAGGTGCTGGCTCATCTGTCATTTATCAGAGGAATGTCTCAGAGAGGAGACAGCACCATCACAGATGAGGACACTTGCTGCGTCATCTGCCTGCTCCAAGAAGACAGAGCAGGTGGCTTTGTGTTGAGGCTAACTGGGAGAGGGAGTGGTTCTTACCTTCTACCTCCAAATGTGTCTGGCTGTATTGTTTTCCCCTCCATCTCCTCCAGACAGTCAAATGCACAGCAGCAGACAAACTTCATTCAAACCTTGCACAGAAATGAGAAAAGAACTAGACTGTCCACCCCATTTACAACTTTCTCTTCCCCCACTTGTTTCCAGTCTTTCCAACAGTGGAGGGTAGCATTAAGTTTTAAAGAGCATGCTCTGTGGTGAAGTGTAAGTACATTATGCTGTGTGGTGTCTGCTGGAAAATATCTTAAGATGCTGCTGCCTGAAGACTGAATAGGATACTTAGTCTAGAGTGGGGGTAATTCTGCCATGGCTTGGCTCCCGTGGTTCAGCCAATTCCTGACCACCTCATTGTTTTTGTTCTTTCCCTAACCACCTAATGGAAACCAGTTAGTCACCTTGTAGGTCACATGTGTTGTGCAGTATTGGATAGCTTGCCCTTTCTTTACTTGGGCATCTGAAGCATTAGAGGTGTGTATGTGTGTACATGTGTGCATATATATCCTTTCCCCCTTATTTTGGAAATTTATTTAACAGAGATAATCCTCTAACCCTGTTTTTCAAGGTGGTAGCAAATGTTTAAATTCAGTCAGGTACATAGGTCTGTCCAATGAAGAACCCTAAATATCTGTCTACATTTGTTTTCCTTTAACTTTCTGTTCTTACCATTATTACTACTTCAATTAATTTTGAGTTAGCATGTCATAATTTTCTTTTATCACCCACTCTTTTCCAGTAGTAAGTATGAATCGTTTGTCCTCTTGATTTTAGTCCTTACATAGGGCCTTAATTTGAGCATAATTTGAATGGACCATGTCTCACTGCATGGCCAAGATGTGTTCAGCATTCCAATTTAATAGTCTCCTCTTTTAATTTTTTTAAAAAATAGTTTCTAGCTCTAACTGGAATTGTGGCGTCTCAACTCTCATTACAAACACACAAAAGCCCACAGGAATTGCTGATGTCTACAGCAAGTTCCGCCCAGTGAAGCGGGTTTCCCCACTGAAACATCAGCCAGAGACTCTGGAGAACAATGAAAGTGATGACCAAAAGAATCATAAAGTGGAGTACCCGAAAGGGGATGATTCCGGCCAGGGAACCCAGCCTGAGGAGCTTGGCCCTGAAGATGGAGTCGGAGGCGTGCCAGGTAAGAGCTTCGAGCCCACCAGCGCACTGGGCGAGCTGGAACATTATGACCTTGACATGGATGAGATTCTGGACGTGCCTTATATTAAATCCAGTCAGCAGCTGGCCACCTTTACCCAGGTGACTGCAGAAAAGAGAATTTTAGGTTTATGCACAACCATCAATGGCCTTTCTGGCAAAACCTGCTCTACAGGAAGCACTGAGAACTCACCATCCACTATGACACCATTTTGTGTTCTTTCTCCTGTGAAAAGCCCTCACTTGAGAAAAGCATCAGCTGTCCTCTTGGACCAGAACAAGCTCTCCACTGAAGGCTCAGAGAGCTCACCTCCTCTGATTAAATGTGGCTCTACATATGAGCCAGAAAGCCAGAGTAAAGACTTCTTAAATAAGGCCTTTAGTGACCCACAGAGTCGAAAACTTGAGAAGACAATGCCAGACTGCCAGCTCAGAGCCTTCCACCTGCCATCCTCAGTGACAGAACCCAAACTAGAAGAGCAGGTCAATGGCATGAACTGGCCCAACTCCCAAGGCCCAGAAGAAAGGAGTGAGTATCTACAGAAAGTAAAAAGCATCTTGAACATCGTTAAGGAAGGACAGATATCTCTCCTGGTGAGTGTACTCTACTTCAAAATCTATCTGTCTGAATAATCTAGAGGCCACTCTCTTACCAGCTCCATTTATAACAAAACAAGAACACATTTGTTTCACTTTTTGCTTAATCTTACAGCTTTACTTTGGAGATATGACCTTTTGAGCTTTAAAATAAAAGTTTGAGAGGTTAATACAAAGAAAAAATATCTATAGAAGGAGTGTTATTTCATTTTAACTTTGTACAAATTCAACTGGAGCAAAGATATTTAATCTAAAACAAAAACAAAACAAAGAGAGCCCAGCACTTTTAAAAAACTTGAATCTTAACGTCTTTCTTTCTGCTTTTCAAATGGTTCCCGATGCTCTCACTTATTTGGGCAGGTCTGCTGATGGCAGACCTGCCAGATCTGTGAACAGAGAGTCTTCTGTTTTATCCTGGTCATTACTCAGAAGAGTTGGACCAGGAATTTTGAAAAGCATTTGCAGATAGAAGTTTACCCTAGAGCTTGCTTGCCCTGTGACCCACATGGACTTTTTACTTAGGTCCAGCTCTGCATGTCTAGGGAGCTTGAAGAAGCATTTCCAAAGACTACAGACACAGACTAATGTCTGTTCTGTTCAGGCTCAGAGAGAGAGCACAACTGACATAGCACTCCATCTGCCGGCATTGTTCTTTTCTGGCTTCCAGACATGGATCACACAGTAGCAAGCCAGGGCTTATACCATGATACTCATTAAAGTCTCATTCAAGAACATTGCTGCATCTTGTCAATGTGATTTTACTTAGTGTGAAGTCATACATAGATAAAATACAATGTGTTTGGTCTATTACACAAATGTTGTTATAACATGACAATATGATTGAACAATTTTACCAAACAATATAGTCATTTTTCTTCTCCTAAAAATATCTTTTCCAAAATAGAACAATTCCTGGCTCTTCCCTCTAACTCTCTTTGGTTTAGTCCTTTCTTTTTTTTTGCATCCCGTGTTTGCATATTTCCCAAATGCTCAACACCACTCAGTCAGCCAACAGTCTCTGTCAACCACTTCATACTTGGGGCTCAATTTCACTAGAGGCAAAAAACCCAAAGGCCAAGTCACCTCCAAGTGCCCCTAGGGGTCACCAGGGTGACAACATCTAGAGGCAACCATGTGAGCCCTAGTAGCAGCAATGTCCATGTAGTTTGCAGTCACAGCCAGTTCTGGACAATCCAAAGGAAAGCAAGTGGTTGAAACAAGGAGTTTGCTACTTGACAAACCTACATCAGGGAATAAAACATAGCTCCAGCCCTCAAGGACTTAGCAGTCAAGTGAGGCAACAGACAGGGAACCTGCTAGTTTCCATAAATGTCACTGCAGTTTTAAGAAAGCCAGCTTGAAGCCGCCACAGTTCATCAGCCCTGGCACTGTTGCCCTGCCTCACACAAAGATCTGTCTCTTGAGAACTCATGTTCAGAAGTTGTCACAACAAAGAGTAATAAATAGCAAGGGACACTGACTTTCTAGATCCCCTTGCTGCCACCAAAGCTTCTGTAAACTCATCTCTTCTTCCCAGAGCCCAGAGCAAAATCCCCATGGTGTCTTGTTCTGATGTACTGACTTCAGTTTTCTACTCTTCCTATTTGTACAGCCACACCTAGCGGCAGACAATCTGGACAAAATTCACGATGAGAATGGAAACAACCTGCTGCACATCGCTGCATCTCAGGGGCACGTGGAGTGCTTGCAGCACCTCACCTCTCTGATGGGCGAGGACTGCCTCAGCGAGCGCAACACTCACAGGTTGACTCCCGCAGGCCTGGCCATCAAGGTGACTGACCGTGTTGGTGCGGGGGGGCCCCCACAGCTCCAAGTGGGATTTGTGGTATTTTAAGATTCCTTGTGAGCTAAAGTGTTGGAAGGGAGAGAGAAGAGAGGGATTATCAAGCAAAGAGCAAATGAACATGTTGAGATGTAAGGTAGTAGTCATTTCCATCACTAACCACGTTGAGCCTTTTGAGACTGTGTTGCAACTTTCTGCCCAATGAGGGTAAACTTCGAATCAGCCAGAAAGAGGAAGGAGAATGATCTTGTGCAGTCCTGAGAACTTTTGTTACTCATGGTGACTGCAGTTCAGTTTCAGAACCACACCTGGCTGTGTTGTTTTTTCCTGTAATGTGAGAGTAATGAGCAAGACCAATGAGGAAAAGCGTGTTTTAAGGGATGACAGTACTTGGGAGTATTTCAGATCATAAAGTGGGCTTCAGTGGATCAGACCTGAAGTTTAAATGTCCTTAGTATCAAGAGTTGTTTAGAATATCAGTGTGGATTTTGCATTTAGCTCTTGCAGAGAACGATATGCTGTCTGTCAAAACTATACAAATTAATGCCAACTGGGATTGAGTTAAAACTTAGAAACCATAATAGAAGAAAACATGCATGGTAGTGAAGCCTCTGTGGGATCAAACACATCGTTACTACACTAATAAGACCTTTGGCAAATAAATGTGGAATTAAGTCATATTTATTAAAAAACCAGGAGTGAAGTTCAGAGAAATACAACTTGCACTCTGTATATGTACTTTGCTTTATATAATAGCTGTGTCTTCTAAGAGCTGAAAAGTCATAATTTTTATATAAATGGAATTATATTGATATTGACTAGAAGAACTTGCTAGCTAAAGAAACCTACTTTTGAATTCACTAAAGGACATATTAGCCAGGCATGGTGAGGTATGTCTGCAATCCCAGCTCTTGGGGGGCCAGCCTGGACTACATAGCAAGTTCCAGATCAACCTAAGCTAGTACATATAAAACCCTCATTAAAAAAAAAAAAAAACCTATCAGGCACCTGAGACTCACACCTGAAATCCTAGTTACATGGGAGGCTAAGATTGAGAGGATCAAGTTTGAGGCCAATCTGGGCAAAATGTAAATGAGACCCCATCTCAGCCAGTGGCTGGGCATGATAGTACATTTCTGTCATACCAGTCATGCACAAGGCTGAGATCAGGAGGATGTAAATTCCAGGCCAACCTGGGCAAAAAAGTTGCAACCTCATCTCAACAGAAACAAGCCAGGGGAGGTGGCACATGCCTGTGATCCCTGTGACAGCAGAAAGCATAAAATAGGATTATAGTCCAGGCCAGTATGGGCAAAAAGCAAGACATTATCTTCAAAATAAACAGAGCAAAAAGGGCTGAAGGCATGACTCAAGTCAAGGGAACGTCTGCCTAACAAGCATGAAACCCTACATTCAAACCTCAGTACCACCAAAAAAGAAAGAAAGAAAACACATTACATCCCAAAAAAACCCAATTAATTGCTGCCCTGCCACTAATATATTGTCTATACAAAGCTGAGTTTTTGTAACTTTATTTTACTTACCAGTCTGTAACATTTTATATATTAAAATTTTTTGCTCAATCCTAAATGTGACTACAAAAATTAACAAAGAAAATAATTTTATACTAAGAAATACATGACTTCAGCAGATACCATACTCCTTTTGTGGTAAATGGTGCCATGTCAGATCAAGAGCTGAGCTACAGCTGGAGGAGTGGCTCAAGTGGTAGAGCACCTGCCTAGCAAGCATGAGGCCCTGAGTTCAAACGCCAGTGTCACCAAAAAAACCCAAACAAAAACAGCTGAGCTACAGCAGTCATCGTGAAGGAAAAGTCAGGTCCAGTAGTTAGTTCCACAATGTGTGTACTGAGTCCACCAGATGCTGTGTGAGTGCTGGACAATGCAAATTTGCGTAAGAGAAGAAGTAGCACCTGCTGTATGGAACCGCTAGCCTGGTGGGTAAGGCACATTAGTTATCAGCAATACCAGGCAGGATGGTAGATTCAGGATCTAGTCCTGTGACAAAGTCTCATGTGACCACAGGATTGGGCATAGTCATAGACGGGCATTCCTACAAATATGCTTACAAGGCCAGTGAGCATTTACATTTGCCTTACTGGTTTGGTGTTTATAAAATAGAGTTCTCGTTAGTTTTCCTGACTAACAGTAGACTATTGAATATTCCCTAACTATATAGTTGGATACAAACATTTTTGTTAATTTATACACCCTAGTGCTTGCTTTAATAGATTACAAATGTCTGAACAGGAATGTACATGAGAAACTTGGCGGCTGTTAAGTCAACCCTCAGCATAAACTCCTACCATACGCACATATGGGGTGTCAATTTGCTCCTAAGGCTCTCTCAGTCAGCACAGATCGCCATCGTACAAGCAGTCTGCAAACTTAAATAACAGTATTTGGGTGCTTTTCATTTCTTTGAATGAAACACATGAAACCCGTAAGACTCAAAAGTTCTTACTGATTCAGAGTCTCAGGCTTCTCAGACTTTGCCTCTGGACAATGATTTGAAAAATGAAAGTGTTCTTCTGTTCCATTATTTAATCTAGAATTTGTAAGAGCAAGAAGTACAAATATTTTATAACAGGTGCCACCCCCTTTAGAAATGTGTCCTGATCCGTGTCCTGCCTTACTGTGCTCTGTGTACTTTGATGGACATTGATAAAGTTGGGAGGGGGTCCTAAGAAGCCATCATTCTTCTGTCTTAGGACCTTGTTTCGAACACTAATTAATGGTGTTTCACCTTATGAAACAGTTCTGAGAGCCCTGCTATTATTAAAGACATACACACTTGGTACAAACAGGCAGAAGTTTTTTGGATAGTATGACTTGACTGACAATAAGCAGAGTTAAAGATAAGGTATCAAATTAAAAAATTACCTAAGAAAGGAACCTGAAAGTCCCAATGCTTATGACAGCTCTCCCCCACTCAAGTGGAACTCCTTAAGTGGAACACAACAAGTTGTGCCAGTTGCATGCAAAATTTCTTAAGTGCTTTCTGGGGGATCCCAGAGTGGATGCTTTGGGAGTTCAGGACACTTTTGAGTCATACAGTAATCTACTCTGACAGAAATCCTATCACTGGTTGATTGAGGCAAAGGTGAGAGGGATTAGAGCCAAGGGTGATGAAAAATGTTCTCTGTCTTAATTTGATTTATAGTTACAAGAGTGTTATACATATATATGTGTGTGTACATATATTCATGTGTATATACATACGTATGTACATACACATGTTTGTCAGAGCTCATCAAAGTGCACACTTAACAAATGCTGCATTTTATAGAATGCAAATTAAACCTCAATTGAGAGAGTTATTTATTTAATTTATTTTTATAGTGCTAGGAATTGAACACAGGACCCTATGCTGGGCTAGCACTCTACCACTAAGCTACACCCCCAGCACAATACAGTGATTTTTAAATAACTGATTAATATCATAAAAATGTATTGGAGTAAAAGATTCTGCAACTGATTTAAAGCCAAAACCACATATTATGAGCAACATTTATATTGTAAAAAAAGAATTAGATCAGCTAAAATTCATACATGTCTTCCCTTGATAAAATTACCATCTTTAAGATATTTTTAAACCTGAATCACCTTGAATTTCTCTGTCTCTTCCCGTCTCTCTCTCATTCTAGAATGGTCATTTGGAATGTGTACGTTGGATGGTGAGTGAAACAGAAGCCATTGCAGAATTGAGTTGTTCGAAGGATTTTCCAAGCCTTATTCATTATGCAGGTTGCTATGGCCAGGTATGCAGTTTTTAAGTATCTTCCCTTTGTGTGCTGTATAATCTACTTATTTTTTTATTATTAGTCTTAACATAAGAAACCATCAAATAGATAACCAAAGATTTATTTTTTTTCCTTTTTCTTTTATTATTCATATGTGCATACAAGGCTTGGTTCATTTCTCCCCCCTGCCCCCACCCCCTCCCTTACCACCCACTCCACCCCCTCCCTCTCCCCCCCCTCAATACCCAGCAGAAACTATTTTGCCCTTATTCTAATTTTGTTTAGAGAGCGTATAAGCCATAATAGGAAGGAACAAGGGTTTTTGCTGGTTGAGATAAGGATAGCTATACAGGGAGTTGACTCACATTGATTTCCTGTGTGTGGGTGTTACCTTCTAGGTTAATTCTTTTTGATCTAACCTTTTCTCTAGTACCTGTTCCCCTTTTCCTATTGGCCTCAGTTGCTTTTAAGGTATCTGCTTTAGTTTCTCTGCGTTAAAGGCAACAAATGCTTTAGTTTTTTAGGTGTCTTACCTATCCTCACCCCTTCCTTGTGTGCTCTAGCTTTTATCATGTGCTCATAGTCCAATCCCCTTGTTGTGTTTGCCCTTGATCTAATGTCCACATATGAGGGAGAACATACGATTTTTGGTCTTTTGGGCCAGGCTAACCTCACTCAGAATGATGTTCTCCAATTCCATCCATTTACCAGCGAATGATAACATTTCGTTCTTCTTCATGGCTGCATAAAATTCCATTGTGTATAAATACCACATTTTCTTGATCCATGCGTCAGTAGTGGGGCATCTTGGCTGTTTCCATAACTTGGCTATTGTGAATAGTGCCACGATAAACATGGGTGTGCAGGTGCCTCTGGAGTAACCTGTGTCACAGTCTTTTGGGTATATCCCCAAGAGTGGTATTGCTGGATCAAATGGTAGATCGTTAGCTTTTTAAGTAGCCTCCAAATTTTTTTCCAGAGTGGTTGTACTAGTTTACATTCCCACCAACAGTGTAAGAGGGTTCCTTTTTCCCGCATCCTCGCCAACACCTGTTGTTGGTGGTGTTGCTGATGATGGCTGTTCTAACGGGTGAGGTGGAATCTTAGTGTGGTTTTAATTTGTATTTCCTTTATTGCTAGAGATGGTGAGCATTTTTTCATGTGTTTTTGGCCATTTGAATTTTCTTCTTTTGAGAAAGTTCTGTTTAGTTCACTTGCCCATTTCTTTATTGGTTCATTAGTTTTGGGAGAATTTAGTTTTTTAAGATA